TTTTAATGTTTAGTAACTACAAAAATCCATTTTTAAAATGAGTATTGACAAAAATACACTAACTTTAAAACAACTTTCTTTTGCATACAAAATTAAAATCTCAACAAAATGACAATAATGTTACCATTTTGTCACCTTTCTATTTTGCTAACTTAAGCATACAATGCGCGACACACTAGACACACATGCACACAGGCAGACAGCAAAATAAAGAAAAATAGAGAAAGTAANAATGTTACCATTTTGTCACCTTTCTATTTTGCTAACTTAAGCATACAATGTGCGACACACTAGACACACATGCACACAGGCAGACAGCAAAATAAAAAAAATAGAGAAAGTAAGAAAGAAAGAGAGAGAGAGAGAGAGAGAGAGAGAGAGAGAGAAAAGAGGAAAAGTTAAAAAACAGTTGAACTGTTGTGTGCTCTCTGTAAACACGTTTTCCTTTTCTTTCTTCTTTCTTCTCTCTTACACCTATCTATTCGCCTATCTTCCACTACCTGTGCTCTTCCCTTTCTTTTCTGCGTTATCGATGTTGCTGATGTTGCTGTTGCAAGTTGTGCACGGCAGTGTTGTGGCACTGACACTGACATTGAAACACACTGCCAAGTGTGTTCTTTTTTTGCAAGTAAACAAGGATGTGTCAGTGTGTGTGTGTGTGTGTGCTTTACGTTTGATCAGTATGCTAGGCAGCAACTGGCCAGCACTTTTTTCTCCTTTTTTTGTTTTCACACACTATCTCTCTCTCTCTCCTTATCCGTAAACTTGACCATTGTTTCTGGAAAAATTCGTGGCAGTAGTCGCCTTGAGTTGTGGTGTGTGTGATGGCAAAAAAGATGAGGGAGTGCCAGTCGCCTGTCGTACAATGCTGCTGCTGTACAACTGCGTTGTCGTACAAAATAACAGCAACAGCAACGTCAACGGCAGTTTAATAAATCATTGCCATCTCTTCTTTTCTGTCAGTAGTCTACAGTTTGGCAGGAATGGCAGATAAAACTGTTTTCTTTTTTTGTAAATGCACTCTCTTTCATCAATGTAAAATTTAAAAATTTAAACTTTATTAAAGCAACAGGTGACTATTAATCTAAATGTACATTTTGGCATGAACATTCTCATTGCATTTGTCAGTGAAATTTACAATTGTTGTAGACGTAAAATAATAGTTGTGTACTGTAATAAAAAAGTGGAAAAAACATGTAAGTTTTAGTTTTAGATCAGTTAACTTTGCTAGTTAACAAACTTCCAAGTGGTCACGAGCATAATAAATTTAAGTGTTGCAGCATTAATTGCTTGGATAAAATGCAATTCAGTACAAAATAAGTTTGTGTTTTGGCTAAACGAATAATTAAAGAAATGGAAAAAATCCACTTAAACGCTATCAAATTACAAAGGTTGACTTAAAAACATTAATTAATTAATTATCAGCTCTTACATGTTGAAAGATGCAATCAGTGCCTGTATTTCTAATATTTCGGCAACACAAACAAAATTATTACGTGTACCTGTTTCATTTAAAATTCATCTCACATTTGGTTGTAAATTAAATCGTTTGCATCACAACGCTGCTAAAAAGGGGGCAAATCGGCACAATAGCACTTGCAGTTGAGGTGCAACCCTGCTCTTTATTTTTGTCATTTGCGTTTAGGTTCTAATATTCAGCCCAAACCCCCTGTAGATTTAATTGAAATAAACTTACAATAAGTTATAAAAAAATTGTCTCAATAAACGGGTTGACACCTGCGTGATAATTTGCAATTTAATTTTGTCGTTGCAACTGTTAATCAAAGCTACCGTTACTGTACAATGTCTGTTTTTTACTTATCAAAAAACTGCACAAAAATTGAGCAATTGAAAAGCTCACTTCGTTTAGGTAAAACAATTTTTTAAAGCAGCTAATTAAAGTTAGTCATCACCACATGACCAAAAATGATAGTGATGAGGGTTCTGTCGTGGCGTGATTTATGTGTTTGTACTATCAACAACAACTATTAAAAAAAGAAAAATAAAAAAACGCTTGACGTTTAGCAGCGTTTAAAAAAACATTATGATTGACGGTTGTGTGAAAAAAAGTGGTGGTAATATGGCCGTGTGTGTGTGGTTGCTGTCAATCTTCTTTCAATGGCTAATTACCATGTTATGTAAATTTTGCATTCTTTCCAAGCTTGTTCCCACGTGCTTTTTGTCACCACCTAAATGCTTGGCTTTTTCCAAAAATTTTTTTAAAACATATCATCTTGAGATGGATGCCGTTTTTTATCATTGTTTGTAAACAGTACAAAGTTTTTTCTCATTGCTATCGATCATTTTTGTGGTGACAGTAGTGATTGAAACAACAACAACGTTTCTTTCCCATATTTTTCTCTAAGCACAATTGTTTGCCCATTTCAAGACATAACATCAAAAAATCATTGCCCATTGTTTAAACGCACTGTTTGTCTGCAAATCTAATCAAGGCAAAAGTAACTTATTTGTATGTGTATATGCGTATTTATTGAAAGTTTAGTAAGTGAGCATCATCTAAAACAGACATCAAAAGGTGCACACACTTGTGATCACACAATTTTCAAGGTTAATTGTGATTTGCAGGTTTTGCCAATTGTGAACGCTCATCAACGTGTTCATCAACGTTGTTGATGATTAGTAATCACTGATGATGAACACTTTGCTGAACACTACTTTTCGTAAGCAACTGCAAGCGCAGTTTTCCCTTATTGCATTAAATTAGACTTTAATTAGGCTAACTCTTTGTTTCAACCGGTGTGGTTTAACACACAAAACGAGTAAAAGTAGTTGTTTTTAAAGCTGGTTATCAGCTGAATTTTGGGTTTAAAAAGTAAAACAGCTGTAACAAATGAAAAATGATAAACAAAATGTTTTTTAAACAGCAGTGTTTGTTTGTTTGTTTGTTTGCAGATTTGATGCTATCTTTGTATTGAAAGTGTTTTTAACTTGTATTGTGTTTCTGCCGCAACTCTGCAACACTGTAAGGTCAAGTGTGTGTGTGCAACAGCTGAGCAGCACAGCGCATCATCACCGTCAACACCTTTTACTTGGTCGACACTTTCTTTCTTTCTCTCTCTCTCTCTCTTCCTCATCTTTTTATCATCATCCTCAACAACAACACAGTTGTTACCTTGGTCAATCGATTTAAACTGCCGTTGCTCTATCACTACTCTTTTGTTTTGTTTTGTTTTGCGGAAATTTTTGTAGATGCTGAAATGATAATCAAAAAAGTGTGCTTTAAGAGAATTAGAAAAGTCTCTCTTTTTTTTCTTTATTATCATTGTTACCATTACCACCAGCTGACCAACGCCTTCCAAAGAAGGTTATGCTGCTCTTCAGAGCTGAGCAATATTCTCATAGACAGAGACTTTTCTTCTATCTTTCAGGCCAAACTTTACATACTAGACGCACACAAACACACACACTCAACTCCACGTGGCCACTTCTAATGCAGAAAGAAAGATTGTCTATCAGTGAGTAGATGTACCGATGTACAGATGTGACGGTGGTGGTGGTGGTGGTAGATGGCAATCACTACCATCACAGTCACCACCACCACCACCACCACCACCATCATCATCATCATCTACGCTTTTGTGAGCAGAAAACGATGCAGGGGCAAAGAAAAGAAAGAGACGTGAGAGAGGTAATCGGCGGNGAGAGAGGTAATCGGCGAGTGGTAACACTGGCTAATTGCCGCGGTGACGGCGACGGCAGTAGCAGACGATGTAAAACGATGAAGAAGAAGAAGAAGAAGAAGAAAAAGAAGAAGAAAAGATGAAGAAGATGGGCAAGACGACTTTTTCCTCAGGGGTTCCTCTCTCGTTCTCTTTCTCTCCCTTTCTCCCTTTTTTCACTATCACTCTGCTGACACAGTGACCACCACCACCACCATCATCATCACCACCACCGACATCACTACACAAAAACCTATGGTGCAGTGCCTATTCTGCCATTTAATAGTACACACACAGACACACAGACACACAGTCACCCCCAGAGTGCTTGTTTGTGTGGGCAATTTGAGTAATTAATCAATTAAGCGCTTGTTATTTTTGCCAGTAGTTTAGTAGTAGTAGTGGTGGAAGTGGACAGCCACCCAGTGCCCCCTCTTCTTTTTTTCCACCATCCTTTAAGATTGACGATCTTCTTTTTCGCCTTCTCCCTGCATTATTTTCTCCCTCTTTTTATTATTTTGTCTCAACTTAAAGATTCACAGTTGATTGTGAATGTGAAGAAATGTGAGTGTGTGTTCAGGAGAGGACCGTCGCTTCTTTTTCTTTTTTCATTTCATTCGAGCTCATCTTTTAGCCCTTTTTACACAGCCAGTAGGGCAGTGTAATAGCTGCACTCACCAACGCCGCACTGTTTTTACTTTTTTTGCACGAGTCTTTCACCACAAGTGCTTCATCATCTTCAGCTGATCTTCATCATATTTGAATATTATTTACATCTTCTATCATCCTCTTCTCTGCTATTATTTTTTATTATCATCCCCATGCACTACAACTGGCAACAGTTCCCCACCTCTTTCTGTACTCTTTGTGCATCTGAGCTTTTTTTAACTTTGTGCATTGCACAGAGATGACCACCACCACTACCACCTCAATATAAACTGTACAACCTCACATTCACGCTTCAAGCTTCATTATCACCAGTTCGGTGCAAGGGTGGTGGTGTTTTCTCTGTTGCGCTCTACCATTGCACCAGTGCAACCCCGTTGTCTCCTTATAAAAACCGTATCTTATAACTCTGTTGTTTTTTCACAAACAAGTGCCATTTTTGTTTTTGCATAGATTTGATTTTATTTTGTTTTCCTTACACTATTTGTTTTTACTGAGAAAACTGTTTATATCATTTTTGAGCTTTAATCTTCAAATCTAATTTTTTCTGCAAACATTTCACCTGGTGAACCTGCATTTGAGTTAAAGCTTCATTAACACAGTTCAAACATCGACACAAAACACAAAATCAGTGATAACAACAGAGAAAAAAAGATGACACCAAGTCCACCAGGAGGTTATTCGAACACCAGAGTGACTGGTTGTCAGCTTCAGCTGCAGCTGGTCACCATTGCCACCGTTCTGATCATCCTCTTCGGCCAAGTTCCCCCCAACAGTGGACAGTACTCTAAAGAGGCGCCTCTTGCCTGTCGCGCCAAGTACGCCAAGTTCAATGGCAACCATACTGCCTGTTTGCGGCCAAATGGCTGCAAGATTACCCATGTAAGTTACTACTACCACTACTACTACTACTACAACTACTGCAAATCCTTTAAGAGTGCCTTTTCTTCTTTTTTTTCTTCTTCTTTTTCACTATTCTATTATTAGAAAGTTGTCGCCTGTTTAGCCTTTAGTCTAATGCCAAAATAATGAGTTAAAAGGCACGGGCAATTCATTAGACCTGAGTTTGCGCCAGCACATACACAAACACTCACATCAACAACGATGTTAGTTGTTTTGCGGTTGACAGTTTTGCTCCTCTGTCCTTTTCCATTAACTTTTTTTTATAAAGTAAAATCTTCAGCACTGAATGCTGTCACATTAATTAGCAAAATGTAATCGAGAGAGAGAGGAAATGGGCTATTATTGTACACAATTTAGTAAAAAAAAAGTTTGTGCACACTGAAACATCGTTAAAAGGAAAAAAAGTTTAATGGTTTTTCAATAAAAAAAGCTAGTTGACAGGCATTTTCGTAGCCTTTGTGGTCAAAATTGATGACTCTCTCTTTCTAATAAAAAATCCCCCCATAATCTGTCGTAATTCAATTAAAGTTGTCTAAAATGTGAACAAAAACTTTAGCAACAGAGATAAACGGCTTTTTCCGGAGTTTTAATCCCTAGTTTTTGTTTACTTTTATTCCCTTTAGTGGGGCGTCTCCAAGGCGGAACAACGAAAGATCGTCGAGGTGCACAATCACTACCGAAATCTGATTGCCAGCGGCAATGAGACGCAGCTGGGCTTCCCCAGCGCCTCGAACATGCTCAAGATGGAGTGGGACCCGGAGCTGGCCTACGTGGCGCAGATGCACGCCAACCAGTGCAAATTCGAACACGACTGCTACGACTGTCGACGAACGGGTAAGGGGATTAAAAAATAAACATTTTGTGGCATACTTTCCAATTACTTTCTGTTGTGCGATTTTTATTATTGCCTGATTCTAATCAAGACATCTTTTTGGTGTGTGTGTTTGTTTGTCTTGTACTTTTGTTTGTTCTTTATCCAGATCGCTACGAGTTCGTCGGCCAGAACCTGTACATCTACCAGACGACGCGCTCCAGTGCGGAGATCCAGTGGCCGTACGTCATCAAGGAGTGGTACGACGAGATACAGATCGCCCCGCCGGCCGTAGCCCAGAGCTTCGACCTCTTCAACCTCAACATTGGCCACTTCACGCAGATCGCCTGGGCGACCACCAACCGCATCGGCTGCGGCTACGTCACCTACGACACTTCCGGTTCGGGTGATGATGAGAGCAATTCGATCTTCAAGACGGCGCAGCTGTACACCTGCAACTACGCCCCGGGGGGCAACTTTCTCGGCGAGAAGATGTACGAGGACGGCAATGCCGCCAGTCGCTGTCCGGCGCGCTACCGACGCTCCAAACGCTTCACTTCGCTCTGTGAAATTGCTCGGGCGAATAGTAAGAATACCAACAACGGCGGTCAAAGGCCGAACAAAAAGGCAAACAAGAACAAGAACAAGAACAAGAAGAACTCAAGTGGGACAAGCACCAGGACTACCTCGAGGAGGGTGACCACCACCACCGTGCAGAAGATATCACCGGTGCGCACGACGACGACCACCTTTAATGGTGAAAATGAGATCACCGGGATTCGGGAGCAGGTGACACCGCTTCACTCGACGCCACTTATCACTCGCTTCACCACCACGACCACCACCACCAACAACAACAACAATGGAGGTCAACCGCTGCAAACGGAGAGCTTCAACTTTAATCCCTCATCGACGACGACCACTACTTTCTCAAACCCAAACACCTTGTTGACCACGCCGAATCTTCAACTGCCGACTTCGACCACTCTTGGAGCTTCTACCATCACCACCACCACAGTAAACGGTGGTAATGGTGATAATAACCCAAAAGTAAACTTTATTTTCGACGACACTCCCTCCCCTTCAATTACCACCACCAACAGAAGAGAAGGAGCTGAACGTGATGATGGATCATCGCTGGTTTTGCTGCGAACCACACCGCTGATCACCACCTCGATCAATCGCTTTCCGACGAGCACTTCAACCACTACCACCACTCTTCAGGCCAGACCGGTTTCAGCACCTCCTCCATCGCCAAGTACCTCGACCAGGACCACCTTCACCACCTCGACTACCCGTCGAAATGTGGCCAGGCCAACTTCCAGACCACCTCCTCCACCTCAAACTTCATCGTCGACCTTCTCGTTGCGGCCATTCTCTAGTCGACCAACACTGACCAACAGTGAGGGCATTGCCGTGACGGCCACCAGCAAACGAGTCGCCCCGTGGTGGGACAAGTGGTCCAACAACTTCGCCAACAGCATCAGCCCACGACGACCACCACCACGGTTTTCTACCACTCGATCGCCCTGGAGACGATGGTCC